GTTTTAACCCTTTACCTTATACTATAATATTTTTAGTCATTCACTTATTAAAATTAAAGAAAATAACTCTTATTTTATAACATTTTATTAGTTCTGTTAGTTGACTGTTAACTCTATCAATTGACTATTAGTTGACTGTTAACTTATAAAAATCTTCTTTCAGTTAACAGAATTAACACAACTAATTTTATAATTTTTGTTAATTCTGTTAATTGACTATTAGTTGACAAAAACCTACTTTTAACTAACAAAGTTAATAGTTATTATAAAGTGAGGATTATTTTCTTTGATTTTAAAATATAAGAGATTAAAACCTATAAATTTAGTAAAATAAGGAGTTAATAGTGTCATAATATAATATAAAAGATTAAAACTTTCAAATTTGATAAGATGAAGGATTAAAAATAAATTTTTACCAATTATATAAAAAAAAGACTCCTAATAGTAAAATACTATTAATATTTTATAATTTAAAATAATAATATATATAGTAAAATAATTTATATATACAAAAATATAAAAATCAAGATATCCTGATACTCAAAATATACATCACAACCATTCCTAAATGAATCTTATCTTTAAAACTCACTCAGCAAATAATTATAATAAATTTCTTGAAACGTTAGGACATTATGATTTATCGGGTTCTTATATATATATATATATATATGTAAAATTCTATTCTGGATTCTGGAAGAGTGGAGAGAGCAGAGAGGAAAATAGGCCCAGTTTCATTGGGTCAAAGTCGAAGGAAACGAAAGTCTAAATTTTCTGGACTGAAACTGAATGATATGATTGATGAGGTATGGTATAGTGGGCCGGGCTTCTGTAATTAATTTATACAGTAATTTTCTTCATATATATTTCAATAGTAGAGTTAAAAAAAGAGTACTCACCTCACCGGAATGCTTCAGATAAGATTTGCGGCTTTGGCTGTCGCCTCGCCTCGCCCCACCCCGCCCGTGCAGCATTTAGGATTATTAGTATACTAAGTAAAATAAATTTTTGCAGCAAACCCCAGCATCGCCTGGCGTGGAAGAGAGTGGAGTGGAGGGTTTCCTTTTCCATGATCCCAGAAACTCCATCATTCACCTGCACCGCCGCATTTTTATTTTTTTTTTCCTCAATTCAATTCATTGCCGCCTGTGATTTAGTTGGCGATTTTATATATATAGGGCTAAATTAGGGTTCTGCTGGAGATGGGCAGTCTCGATCAAGTTGACGATTTAACATTCAGGATTAATTTCAGTGGAGATGCAGCTGCCAAGTTGAGACAAAGAGTCAAGGATAAACTCAAGGAATTTATGGCGGATTACACTGATGATACTCTTGTGGTACTTCCTTTTCCTTTTCCTTTTCCTTTTCCACATCTCCTACTCCATTCCGTTGGATTGGATTCATTCATTTTGTATACCTGCTTCTGCATTTCCCAGATTGTGTAATGTAATGTAATGTAATACATGCCTTATTTATTCAACTTTTAGGGGTATGGGGGCCTCTTCTCTTCTGTTTAAAACATGTACTATCAATGGCTTTTTAATCTTACTCTCACATTCCAATTCCAACTTCTTCTTATAGTAATAGTAATAGTAATTGTAATTGTAATTGTAATAATACATGTGCTTTTTGTATCTCCTCACTTTGATATTGATTTAGGCTTGTATGGGTTTTCAACCATGGAATGTATTTGTGGGAGTAAAGCTGCTGTGTTTGATACTGTCGCATTTTTTAGAAATGTATTTGATTTCACAATGTTTCAACTCTTTCTTTCTATACTGTATGTATAATGTTTGTTTATTTTATTTCATTTTGAATACCTCATTTTCTCTTTCCAGGAATATGTCATTGTCTTGTTGAGAAATGGCAGGCGCAAGGAAGAAGCCAGAAACGAGTTGAATGTGTTTCTTGGAGATGATAGCCATCCTTTTGTTTCATGGTATTTCAATCCTTTATTTATTCCATTAATCTTTTTCTTTTTCTTTTTTTTTTTTTTG